TAAGACATTGGTCCAGTGCACTTTAAACATACTGAATTCATATTGAACTTCATCGTCAACCGTGCGAATTGTTCTATTGTGCGAAGCAATCCAACACCCTGGTGCTAGGTTCAATCCCCATCTACCGTGCACATCCTCATTTACTTTAAATATGCATTGCGAGTTTGGCAGCGAAGTTACCTATCCTTACTGTAATTTCGTGTATGATAGTGATTGTGATGATCAATCGAATATGCAAAAGTTTTGAGCAGCTCCCGCGATAAAAAGCCGGTCACCACTACCACTTCACGGAAAGGTCATTACGCATCTGCAATCCATAATAGTCCTAGAGATGGTTCATCCTCGAGCAACAGCTAACCGCATAAACCAAATTATTTCGGTCGATAGAATGATTTCGTTGTTGTGTGAAAGAATACTTCTCGATTTTCTTTGTCAGGAGAGACAGATTTTGACAAAAAAACGGTCAAAAATTTAATGATTCTGCGAGAAAAACCCAAGACATAAACGCTGTGAACCGGGTGAGTATCCAGAGTCAGATGACTGGTTAGATAATGTGCGTGTGTGCGTACAATCGGGCAATTCGAACTTTCTGATTGGTCAATAATGAACAGTTCAAAATGCACTGGAGTGTATAAAACTGACCTAGTTTTCAGACATTCCGCAACCCACGCTATCCTTGTCCAATACCTGTCCATGTGCCACTGTCGGTTCTCCCGGTCCAGAAAAAAGTGATGGACAAAACGAGTGGAAAAGCATACTGCGCATTTGGAAGAAAACTGGCTGCTCAAGGTATACGCTGCAACAAACACGATTGATCACGCGTCCGGAGGTTAAATCGATTTTCTTGGTAAATTCCAGTGAGATGTAGATCGCTGGTGATCGAAGTCATGGGTTAGTCTATTTAGTCGATTGTGAACAGAACTTGTTTGGCCTTGACTGGATCGATTGCCTGCAGCTTACACATGTGAATCAATGAACTGTGCTTATCCATATCAATTCGGGTAGAAAAGCTGGTCAACTCATCGAGACCAGTTTCTGACACCTTCAAGTCAACGTAGGAAAGGACAGCAGAATAAGTTTTGGGTACGTTTCTGCTGAACTAGTGAGTTATACCGAACTGAAAATGCCTGGACAACCGTGTTTGTGCTGAAGTTGAAGTGAAGAGACGACCAAGTAGCGCTAAAGCACACATTGTGCCAAAAGATGTCCTATCAGGAGATGGCGTACCCATGAGACGTTATCGTCCTGGTCATGTAAATTGGATTGTAGGACACATTCAAAAAGGAATTGTTAGCTTGATCTACAATGTCCGGGTGGTGGAAGGTGGCACATTAACGAACAGCACCCATTAGGGCGTCTAGTACTCATAGTGCGAGAAAATTTCAAGTTGAAAACAACTCTGCCTGCGGTTGATGTTCCAGGTATACCAACACTAATTGAACCGACAATGAAGCCAAGATGGCGGATCGATAGTATCAGGAAGCAGGTCATACCGTTTAAAATTGATCCAAGGGTGAGCTTCCGGATCCCGATTTCTGGTTAGACAGTGTGCGTGCGTGCGTACAACCGGATGGTCCGACTTTTCTGATTGGTCAACAATGAAGAACAGTTCAAAACACACTGGAGGGCATCAAACTGACCTAATTTTCAGACATTCTGTGGCACATGTTACCCATAATTAGTGTTCTGTCTTTCGCTCAAAGGCTGTGCTCCTTCTTCTACCCGAATGTCCGAGGTACGGTACACCTCAAGTCATCGCGTGTCGAAACAAGAATAAATTGATTTATCATAAAAGAGGTCGGCTTCATAGTTCGAATACACCATAAGATGAAGTGGAAGAAAGATACACGATAGGTCTAATTTATCGACCCTTGTTTCGAAATGACGGAGACTTTAAGTTAGGACAGGAGAGAGAAGACACAATTCGTGTGCGTGTGCGCGT